GGAGCCAAAAAAGTCCCCCAATGAGCAGCTCCGTGGTCTGAAAGGGCTGGGAAACAGCCCAATGAGCATCACCACAGAGGAGCCAATCAGCTGGAAGCTGGAAGTTTGCTGGGGCCGCTGTGAGCCAACTATCAGCTGGCAGCTGGAAGTTTGCTGGCAGCTGGAAGTTTGCTGGGGCACCTTCAGCTGTGGCTCTCAACAGATTACCAAGTATTTTATTTTATTTTATTTTTTGAGTATATTGTGAATGGGGTAGTTTTCCTCATTTCCTTTTTCAGAGGATTTGTCACTGATATATAGAAATTCCTTTGATTTATGGGTGTTGATTTTATATCCTGCCACTTTTCTGAATTCATTTACTAGTTCTAGAAGTTTCTTGGTAGAGTTTTTTGGGTATTCTTGGTGTAGAATCATATCATCAGCAAATAATGCTAGTTTAAGTTATTTTTTTCCTATATATTCCTTTAATTTCTTTCATCTGTCTAATTGCTCTGGCCAGTGTTTCAAGAACCAGGTTGAATAGAAGTGGTGAGAGAGGGCATCCCTGTCTTCTTCCAGATTTTAGCAGGAATGCCTTCAGTTTTTCTCCATTTAGAATGATGCTGGCCTGAGGCTTAGCATAGATAGCTTTTACAATATTGAGGTAAATTCCTGTTATCCCTAGTTTTTCTAGGGTATTGTACATAAAGCAGTGCTGTATTTTGTCAAATGCTTTTTCATCATCTATCAAGATGATAATATGGTTATTATCTTTAAGTCTATTGATGTGAAGAATTACATTTATTGATTTCCCTATGTTGAACCAACCTTGCATCCCAGGGATGAATCCCACTTGATCATGGTGCATGATCTTTTTGATGTGTTTTTGTATCCAATTTGCCAGAATTTTATTGAGGATTTTTGCATCTATATTCATTAGGGATATTAGTCTGAAGTTTTCTTTATTTGAGGTGTCTTTATCTGGTTTTGGAATCAGGGTGATATTGGCCTCATAGAATGAATTTGGAAGTACTCCCTCTTTTTCTATTTCCTTTGTCTATTGTGACATTGCCTTTTCATCCTGTTTGCTAGTAATTTGTCTTCTCTCTCTTCTTCTCTTCATTAGTGTAGCTAAGGGTCTATCAATTTTATTTCTTTTTTCAAAGAACCAACTTTTAGTTTTGTCAATTTTTTCAATTGTTTCTTTTGTTTTGATTCATTGATTCCAGCTCTGATTTTAATTATTTCTTACCTTCTACTGCGTTTGCTGCTGATTTGTTCTTCTTTTTCTAGGGCTTTGAGATATAATGTGAGGTAATTTATTTGTTGGCTTTTTTTTTCTTTTAAGGAATGAACTCCATGAAATGAATTTTCCTCTTAGTACTGCTTCCATAGTATCCCAGAGATTTTGATATGTTGTGTCTGAGTTTTCATTTACCTCTAAGAATTTTTTAATTTCCTCTTTGATGTCTTCTTAACCCATTGTTCATTCTGTAGCATATTGTTCATTCTCCATGTGATGTAGGAATTTTTCTTCCTTATTTTATCGTTGATTTCCAATCTCATTCCATTATGATCAGAAAAAATGCATGGTAGTATCTCTACTCTCTTTTATTTGCTAAGAGTTGCTCTGTGACATAGTATATGGTCTATTTTTAAGAAGGATCCATGTGCTGCTAAGAAAAAAGTGCATCTGCTTGATGTTGGGTGATATATTCTATATATGTCATTTAAGTCTAAGTTATTAATTGTGTTATTGAGTTCTATATTTTCTTTATTCAACTTTTGTTTGGAAAATCTCTCCAGTGGTGAGAGAGGTGTGTTAAAATCACCCATGATTATTGTGTTGTGGTCTATTTGACTCTTGAACTTGAGAAGAGTTTGTTTGATGAACATAGCTGCACCATTGTTTGGGGCATATATATTAATGATTGTTTTGTTTTATTGGTGAATGGTTCCCTTGAGCAATATGTAGTGTCCTTCTATACCCCTTTTGATTAACTTTGGCTTGAAGTCAACTTAATTTGATGTGAGTATGGCCACCCCTGCTTGCTTCCGAGGTCCATGTGAGTGGTATAATTTTTCCCAACCTTTCACCTTCAGTCTGTGTATGTCTTTTTCTATCAGATGAGTCTCCTGTAGGCAGCATATTGTTGGATTTTTTTAAATCCAGTTTACTAGCCTATATCTTTTGATTGGTGAGTTTAAGCCATTAACATTTAGGGTTACTATTGAGATATGGTTTGTATTTCCAGTCATATCTGCTTATTTTTGTTATTTAACATGATTTGTTTTTCCTCTTTGATTAGTTTTTCCTTTACTATACTACTACCACTGTTGGTTTTCATTGTTATTTTTCTCTTCCTCTTCATGTAATGTTTTGCCAAGGATGTTTTGAAGTGCTGGTTTTCTAGCTGCAAATTCTTTTAACTTTTCTTTATCATGGAAGGTTTTTATTTCATCTTCAAACCTGAAGCTTAGTTTTGCTGGATACAAGATTCTTGGTTGGAACCCATTATCTTTCAGTGTTTGAAATATGTTGTTCCAGGATCTTCTAGCTTTCAGGGTCTGTGTTGAAAGATCAGCCATTAATCTAATTGGTTTAYCCCTAAATGTAATCTGCTTCCTTTCTCTTGTGGCTTTTAAAATTCTCTCCTTATTCTGTATGTTGGGCATCTTCATTATAATGTGTCTTGGTATGAATCTGTTGTGATTTTGCACATTTGGTGTCCTATAGGCTTCTAAGATTTGGATTTCTGTTTCATTCTTCATGTTTGGGAAGTTTTTAAATATTATTTCATTGAACAGATTGCTCATTCCTTTGTTTTGGACCTCTATACCTTCCTGTATCCCAATAACTCTTAAATTTGGTCTTTTAATGTTATCCCATGTTTCTTGGATTTCTGGTTGTGGTTTCTTATCAGTCTCACTTAGCTGTCTACGTTCTTTTCGAGATGATATACTTTGTCTTCATTGTCTGATATCCTATCTTCTAAGTGTTCTACTTTGCTGGTTATACTCTCATTTGAGTTTTTCATTTGGTTTATTATTTTCTTTATTTCCAGGATTTCTGGGGTTTTTTTTGTTTGTTTGGTTTTTTTTTTTTTTGTATGATCTCTATCTCCCTGTAGAATTGATCTTTTGCTTCTTGGATTTGTTTATGTAATTCATTGTCAAAGTGATCTTTCATTGTCTGCATTTACTGTCTAATGTCTTCCTTGAGACTCCAGATCATCTGACCATGTATATCCTGAAATCTTTATCTGACATTCCTTCTGCTGCAGATGTTACCTCTTCTAATGTTGAATTGACCTTCACTGTTTGTGGTCCTTTCTTTTTTCTTTTCATACTACTCATGTTTCTTTCCAGCTTTCTGTAACTGTTGTGTTAATGTTTTTCCCCTATATTTTTATATTGCTCTTGTATAGTTCCAAAACCTCTCTTTTGTGAAGAAGGACAATGTTACCATTTCCCAATATCAATAGTACATCATCTATGAGCAAGTTTTCATTATTAATACATTTATAATTAGACTCTATGTCTACAGATGTTGGCTTCAATTATCATTTAAAATATAGTCATTAGCTTCATAAAAGGCATACCATTTCTGGTGGTGTATAGAGAACTGAGGGTCAGGTGTAGGATGTTATGTTAAGGGGGAAAGGAGTGAGGGTATGGGGTTAATCTAACTTAGCAACTTTGGAGGAGAACTCTAATGAATAGATGGGTAATTTACAGAAGAATGTAAAAAAACAAACTCCTATCTGTATTTAGAAAATTTCCCTATGTATAAATAGTAAAAGTTAGGAGGTTGAAAGTGGGATAGAGGGAGAAAGAAGAAAAAAATAACAAGGAAAGTAAGAAAAAAAGAGAGAGGGAGAAAGAAAATAACAAGAAAAAAGGGGGGAGTTAGAGCATATGAAATTCCTCTATATTATATTATTCTGGTGATTCAGTTGTTAAAGTCCTATTTCATGCAAAGTTCTTGGTTTCACATATGTTGAGGTTGTGAGGACCTGAGGCGGAAGGGTAGAGGAGAATGGATGAGAAGAGAGAGAGAAGAAAAGAAAGAAAAAAAGAAAAAAAAAGAAAAGTCTCTTAGAACTCTGCTTTCTTTTCTTCCAATAGGTGGAGTTGTCTATTCCTGGCTTAAGTCTCTGTGCTCAGGGTGGTGGAGGTAGCCAGTGTGAGAGGACTTGAACTTCTACCTGGAGCCTCCCTATGCTTAGTCTCTGAGATGGAAACCAGGTGCCTGTACAATTGCTATTCTGCGTTGATAGCTATGCCCCCCAAAAGTTTGTGAGAAAAATCTTGAGTTATCTCAGCTGGAGGTAGGGGAGTTGGAAACCACATACTTGATCAGCTGCAGAACTGCACTGGTAGCCATGCCCACTGATAGATGGCGAGTAAGGTTTTCCAAGATGGATTCTGTCTGTTTCCTGTGTAGGGTGTTTGGTGAGGTGTAGGGTGCTGGGGTGACCTTGTGCTTTGTCCAGAGCTCAGTCTGGTGGCCCACAAGCAAAGCCTCTGCTTTCTTTGATGATCTCCGGGCGGCTCCACCTTCCGTCTGCCTAAATGATTTTATATAAGGGATTTCCACAGATTTTGGTATTCATGGGGTGGAGTGAGAGCTGGAAAGAACCCATCATGGGAACGAAGTGATTACCATATATTCATAACCTTAGTCACTGAATATCAATGACTTTTAATATTACAGAAAGAATTATAACGAGATTATAGTTTTATAGATGTAAAAAAAACACTACCTGTTATGTCTTCTTATCTAAATATATAAATAATAAGTAAAAACTGCAGTCTGACTAAAATTCTGTTGCAATTTTCAATTTTTAGGATATATCAAAAAAGAATAATATAATACAATAACAGATATGGAATCAGAAAAATATCCACATAGAAGATTGCACAACCAATGTCTCAAATTCTTCATTAAAGTTTTTTTWAAAAAAATTAAATAGAAGATGAAGAAGAGATTATAGTTAAAAGAAGATGTAAAAGCATATCAGCTGCTATGGTTTGGATCTTAATTCCCTTCCACCCCAACCAAAGTTTCTTTGTGGTAAAGCCTGGTGTTATTAGGAGGTGGTAGAACTTTTAAGAGCAGGAGCATAGCAGGAGGTCCTTGGGTCATAGTGCACTCAAGGGACAAAGCAGCCCCTTCTTCTCTAGTTTTCTTTCTGACCATAAGGTAAGCAGTTTTGTTCTGCCATGTACTGTTACCATGATGTGCTACCTCCCTTCCAGAGACTAAGAGTAATGTGTCCACCTAATCATGGAGTAAAACCTTCCTAACAGCGAACAAAAAATACTCTTTTACTCTTTATCAGTTGATGAACTCAAGCATTTGTTATAGTAATGGAAAGCTAACTAACACAGCACACTGATGACAAGAAATGGAGTCATTGCCGTTGCCATATACCTGATGATGTGGAAGAGCCTTTGGAATTGATCTATGGAAGAAATTTGGAAAAAAGTTTGGATAATAAATGTTAATATTTAGATGTGAGGTGTCCCCCAAAAGCTCATGAGTGAGATAATGTGAGAAAGTTTAGAGGTGAAATGATTGTTATGAAAACCTTAACCTAATTAGTGCTTTAACCCACTGAAAACCATTAACTGGGTAGTAACTGTTTTAGTCAGGTTTTTTGCTGCTGTGACCAAAAGATCTGACTAGAACAATTTTAGGGGAGAAAAACTTCATCTGAGTGCTCATGGTTTCAGAGGTCTCAGTCTTTGTTATCCAGCTCCATTCCTTAGGGCTCGAAGTGAGGCTGAACATCAGGGCAGAATAGTGTGGCATAGGGAAGCAGCTCACATGGCGATGGAAAGCAGACAGAGACTCCACTTGCCAGATACAAAATATATACCCCAAGGCATACCCCCAATAATCAACCACCTCAGTCACATCCTGCCCACCCTCACCTCCCACCCAGTTAATCTCATCACAGGATAAATTCACTGATTGAGTTGAGGCTATCATAATCCAATTATTTCCCCTCTAAACCTTTTTGTAATGTCTCACACATGAGCTTTTGGGTGATACCTCACGTGCAAACCCTAACAGTAACTATAGGCAGGTAGTCTGCTACTAGAGAAGGTGGGTCATTGGGAGCAAGCTGTTGGGTTTTATATTTTGTCATGGTGAGGAGAGCTCTCTTTCTTGCTGCTTCTTGGTGTAATGTCCTAAGCCACTTTTCTCCATCACACTTTTTTTGTCATAACATTCTGCCTTGCCTTGGACCAAGAGCAAGGGAATCTACTGTCTATGGAATCAGACCTCTGAAATCATGAGCCCCCAAATAAAGGTTTCCTTCTCTAAGACTGTTCTTGTTGGGTATTTTGGTTGCAGCAATTAAAAGGCTTATGAAAATAAGCAAGCTAGAAAAATGAAGGACTGCACTATTGTAAGAAACTTTAAAAAATGAAGGACTGGTATTATATGATTATGAATTTAACAGATAATTCTGGCTGGAGTTCAGAAAGGCAGAATGTTAATAGGAATGCAGGCAACAAAGACTATGCTGATGAGGTTTCAGATGGAAGTGACAAAGCAAGTTTGGGTACCTTTTGCCCATGCCTTGGGACTTGGAGGGAGGCTGAGTTTAAAGGTGAAGGACTTGTTTATCTAGAATGAAGAAATTTCAAGGCAGCCCTACATTCAGGTGGTGATGTGGCTGATGTTAATAAAATTTAGAATGGGAATCAGAAGCAAAAAAATGAGCAGAGCAGAAATATTTGAAAAATTCACACCTTGGTCAGAAAATGAGTTTGCATAAGGGTTTGGACCAGGAGGCTGCAGATGCTAACCCAAGTGCTTTGTTCTGGGACAACTGTAAAGATGACTATTCTTGAAAGTATCTCAAGAATTAACAAAACCACAGTCATCACAGGCTTAGAGATTTAGAGATACAAATTTATTTGAAAGACTTCAGGATAAAGTTTTTTTGAGAAGAGCCTCCAAGGGCACCCTAGCAAATCATCTCCCCAGTTCAGCCATCAAGGCATTTGGAGACTGGCATGGCCAGGTCTCAGGGAGGCCAAAGTACAGCTTACACTGGCAACATGATGCAGGCAGAACACAGAGTTATGGAGTCATAACTTACTTCCATCAAAATTTCAAAGGAAGCCAGGCAATGTGTCCCAGGGTCATAGTTCTGGCAAACAACCTTTGACAAGGTACTATATGGAACAGTGAGAGTGAAGCTACAATGGAAAACCAAGAAGATAAGGGAGGCCAGCATGTGGAACCCTCGCAAAGGGAAGCTGCAGACGACATAGAAAACCAGCCTAAGAGAGGTCATTTGGGCTGCTGCAACAAGCAAGGCCATAAAGGTGGGAAGCCCAAGCCCTTGGGAGCCGACGTCCCACCACAGTTTACCCTCAATGACCAACCTGGAGCTGTAGGATTTAATGTTTGCCTTATTGGGTTTCAATCTTGCTTTGGTCTCCTTATTTTTTTTTTCCTGTTCTTCCTTTTCAGAATGGGAAAATATTTATCCTGGGCCTGTTCCTCCATTGTATATCGGAAGTAWATAACTTTCACTTTTACTTTTACAGTGCTCTGAAATGAGTTTGCCTTGAGTCTCAGAGAAGATTTTGGACTGAGATTTTTGAGAAATTCTTCAATAGTTCAGATTCTGGAAATCTTGGGAAATGGACTGGATCTATTTTGCATGTGCTTTGGGGACTTGGGAAAAAATATTGTAGTTGGGATCCCAAATGTCCACCATAGGTCCATGTAGTAAGGCTTGGTCCCAAGTCTGTTGCTATTGGGAGGTGGTAGAAGCTTTAGGAGGTGAGGCCTAGTGTGAGGTCTTTGGGTCATAGTGAGTGTATCCTCAAAATGGATAATAGGACTTCTTTCTCTCCTTTGTTTCTGGGCCATGAGGTCTAAGGTTTTTCTCCAGCCATGATGTGCTTCCTCCCTACCTGAGGCCTAAAAGCAATAGGTTCATCTGATCACACATAGCTCCAAATATGTGAGCCAAAATATAACTTTTCTCTTTATAAATTGACAAACTCATATTCATATTATAATAATGGAAAGGTGACTAACACATCATCCAGTCAAAATCTATTTATATATTTGGATATTTTTTAAAACAATAAGCCATTAAATAATTTTGACAATTTTAGACAATTATAAATATTAGTATTATCCGTACCTCTGATCACATTAATGAAATATTAATTTTGGTTTTATTATGATATCATAGCTATATTGGAAAAATCTTGTTCTTTATTGAGATATACTGATAAATTTGTAAATGCAATTACAATGTTTAGAATTTGCTTTAATATTGTATGGAAATTAGTGAAGTGAGTGAGGGTATAGTTAAAATTGGAAATAAGTTGATATTTATTTAAAGTGTGTAATGGGAACATGGATTATACATGATACATTTATGTATTTATATGTTTAAAGTTTTTGGTAATAAAAGATAAAATACAGAATGCCATGATGAGAATTCTTGGGCGACGGGGAAATAACAATTAAAAAAAAACTTAAGAGAGTGTTCAGGAGAATTTTTTTAATCACATAAGTTAAATACAAAGTTGGTTGATAAATGTCACATCAGGAAGAGTTTGAGAAGGAAAGAGTAAGTTGTGAGAGAATAAAGTAAATACAATAACAAAAATGAAAATACAATAGCAAAAACTCCCACTTTTTTAGAGCACTTGCTAACATGTGAAGCCCTGAGATCAATACCCAGTACTGGAAAAATAAGAAATAAAAGTAATTTAAAATAATATATATTCAGCAGGGATTCAGATGCACATTACAGTATGAGAAATACAACACTCTTAATTTAATTTACAAAAAAATAAGTAATAATGAAACACAAAGTGACAATACCTTTTTTCCTGATTTTATTTTATTTTTATTTGTTCTTATTADTTATACATGACAGTAGAATATATTTTGACATATTATACATATATGGAATACAGTGTCCCATTCTTCTGGTTGTACATTTTATGGAATTACATTTGTCTTTTATTTATATATCACAGAGGAAAGCAATGTCTATTATCTTTTCTATTCCAATCAAGCCACAAATGACATTCTCTTCATTCCCCTTTGACAAAATGGCAACACTTAAAGATATCATAGCATTTTTTCCCAGAGTTGAAAGATTTATAAAGCTCATCTTCAAAATATAAAAGCAAACAAACAAGGG